AAGAAAGTGGGTAGTTATAGGACGATCAAGCAGTTTTTAGGGTAGTTAATCACAAAGAGATCGTCTATGAGGTATAAAAGGAAAGAAGGACGCAGAAGCAAAGGACCGAATCCAAAACTCTCGAACAGAGAATATGTAACTTTCATTTGCTTAGCTTTTAGACTTAAACACTTTTCTTTTTGTAACTCGTGTGCTTGCGCCCCTTGGAGGCACGTTGTTTTTCGTTTCCAATTGTAAAGTTCATCGCCAATAAAAGAACACCCATTTTTGGGACTTTGTCTCAAGAGGTTTCGTCCCTTACACAATCGTCTGATCCTTTTTAATTGTTAGCGAATTAACCAGCGCGAAACAGTTATTTAATTACTCATAGAACTTTCTGAAAGTAATATATAATTTTTTATAATGTTATTACTTTATTAAATTATATTTATTAAGACTTACTAAAAATTATCACTCGTGAGTTCTATCCTTCTGTATCTGTCACTTTATCAACGAACTTAAATAATTAGGACAAAAAAATAATAGTTATTTACAGAGTGAAATTCCATATATAAATAAAAAATAATAATAATATTTTTTAATAATTATCAATAGAAAAATTCGACTTGGGAATTTCACCAATAAATGATTGAAATGGCTGAGTTGGCATTTTGCATTGATAGAGACACAGCGGAGGGCGGTGATTAGGAATAGGAAGTGAGGAAAATGTGGACTTTGGGGGAAGAAGATGAATCAAAATGGTGTTTTGGATTTTTAAAAGGGTAAATTGCATTAGCATCCTTCAACTTTAGCCAAAGTAGCAGATCTATCCCAAACTATTTTTTACCCAATTATTGACCTCAACCTTTGGAAAATTAGCAAACTTAATCCCTTTGAACAGTTTCCATTCAAATTAGTCGTTAAGTCAACTAAGCTAACTTGCACATGACTTCTAAAGAAGAGGAAACAGTCCAAGAATTTAAACCGCTTAAGAAATAAGAAGCAACCATAAAAAAAAAAAAAATTAGAAGACCAAAAAGGGAAAAGAAAGAGAAAACGATAAAAAAAATAAAAAATTGTAGAGGACGACGGTTATGAGATGGGAGAAGAAAGAGGAGTGCGCCTGTGTTGGGGTGGTGGTGGTCATCGTTGGCAACTAGGGGTGGAATTAGAGGTGGGCTGGTCTAGACTGTACATTTATTTTCTTATAGAAATATGTTTTATAAGTAAAGAAAATTATGTGAAAAATTTTTCTTTTACATTTAGCCCAACATAAAAGATATTTTAGTTTAGTCATGGCTAATAATGACGATGTTGTTTAGGAAGGATGTGTTAGGTGGAGTTTGGGGTGAAATGTAGAAGATATTGAATTTATTTTTCTCACTTTCTTTCTTTTTCATTTTGTCTCTTTAGTTTTTTTTCAAGTGGTTTAAGTGTGTGGACCAAGGACGGAACCAGACGTTTGGAATTGTGGAGTCAAAAATGAAATACAATTTTTTTAAAACATATCATTAATAACGATAAGTCAGTACATTACTATAATTGCAACCTACAAATTTTCATACTCTAAAAGCATCGTATAATTACATCATTATAAATATTATCGAATACATCGTTTTCAATATATGTAACCAAACTGTCACTTAGCCATTGATTTCCAATTTATGCAGTTGATTTGACAATCTTCATTCTAGAAAATATTCTCTCAGAAGAACTAGCACCAATGTTACAAATTTGTAAACTAATGGGCACACCTCATTTTTTTGGAATAAAATAAGTAGGCTGTCAATTTGTTACCTAGATGAAAGAAAAATCACAAAATGAACACAAGAAGAAAAAATTCAAAAATATGAATGGCGGTCTCGAACTTTCCGCAAACCATTGTGCCGATTCTTCTCTCTGTGAGGTTTAGGACAAAGTCTAAATGCATATGAAAACCTATGTGAAGTGAAGGAGTGGAGAGAAAATTGACTTGATCACTTGGAGTTAGACAAGTGAAAAAGCAATAAATAGGCTTGTGCAATTGGATTGGCTAATTGGCCATGGACAATGTTTTGGTCAATTTGCACATTGAAATAAAAAGGGGCTTGGATAATTTACAGATCAAAAAAAAAATAGACACGGAAATTTTTGTGCATGACCCCATGTGGTTCTGTCCATGGTGTGAACTATTTTTGTCCTTCCTTAAAAGTTATGTGCAAGTCCGGATACTTCACTTAACGGTTGCTTTGGATGAAAAACGTTTAGAGGGACTTAGTTCAGTTTGGTATTGATTAAAATCAAAATTAATTTAAGTCAAAGTCAATAAATAATTTTAATCACTTATTTTGTGGAATCCACAACTTTTCAATCATACATTTCATCAATTTTTATTGAAATCTACTAAAAAAAACTTATTTTAATTCTCACCAAACAGATGCTTAAGTTTGCTACTTTTTCAAAGATTTAGGGCACAAACCGAACAAAAAATGGTTTGGGAGTAGGTTTGCTACTTTGCTTAAAAGTTGGGACTAAAATTAGTTTCATGTAGTGCAAGTTGGGAAAGTGATTAGATAAATATTTAATAATTATAGTGGCGATATCTATATAACATATGGAAAAATAAACGAACGATGCTTATGATTATTACAACATATGAAAATAAAAACATAAATTTAATCCACTTAAATTATAAGAGCACTGCTACATTAATAGGGTCACAGGCACCCTGCCAATAGGAGGACACGTGTCCCCCCGAAAAAACAAGGCCCATGTGGCCTTGTTTAAGAAGAGTTATACAAATTATAATTCAATCACTTTCGTAATATGCGCAAAATTTGTAAAAAGTGACATTTTTCAAAATGTGCTTATCACATCAGATGGAAATTACTTTCCAACTTTGATCATTCATTTATTTGGCGCACAATACCATGGAACTCCAAAGTCCAAAGTAGTCAACGAAGTTGGAAATTATCATAAATGAATATCAATTCTTTCAACAGTGCATTTCAAATTTTCAATAAAGCCTAAAGTAGTGATTTGAAGGTTTTTGTCATTTGCTAATAAATTAGTAGTAAAAGAACAACGAATCTTGATTCAAGAAAATATGTTCCTCGATGTCGGACAAGATAACACAGTCAAAATTGAGTACAAGTAACACTAGACTTATAAACTTGTTAATCGAGAAACATGTTAAACAAGGCAAATCGAGTCTAGTTGGGGTACTAGAAGTCACATTGTTCTTGAAAACTCAAATGAGACGGATTAAAATATTCTTTATCCTAGAAGTCGAGTTCGCTTGTTCAAGTTTACAACCTTGCTTGCAACACATTAACTAAATGAATGAGTTCACTTCAATAATGTATCTATATGAAATTGGGTAAATGAACCAACACAAACAGCTATGGTTAGGGATTTTGTCACGGGGACTGCACGATAATTTCAGATTTCGCGTCTCAGTCAACTAGTTCTCGCCTTAATGAAGACCAGCTAAACAGAAATGTAAAAGATAAAGGGAGAGATAGTATTAAGGAATTCTTCCCAACCTTTACTGCTCAACAATTTAAGGAAATTCAAGTACAAATGTGAAGGGTAAACACACTACCAATTGCTGCCTCAGCAATTTGTATTTATACAGGAAATACCCGTAACTGCTTGGATTTGTAGAAATCTAACTAAGGCCAATGGACCAAGATAACCGCCCATAATCGCTGAGAAAATTAACCACCAAGGCTGAATTCACCCACTAAAAAACAAAGTTGCCTGCAGTAAATTATTTCCCCATATGCACTCAGCATGCTTAGACTGACACACTGACTCACTTCATGCCAACCAACTTTGTTTGTGCTTGCCTGCAGCATTCCGTCCCCTGACATCGGGGTAATTCTGCCCATGCAGTGCTGCCATCAAGTAAATCAGCATTGTATGCTTCCGCTACCTGCCAAATGCGCATATCACCCGCCCATCCAGCCCATGCCAACACGTTTCCTTGCTTGGGTCCTTGCCGAATGGCACATGAGCCACACATCTTATGCACATCCAGCCGTAGCATTGACATGGGGCAAAGCAGAACCCATGCCATACCCATTTCGACCAAAAGGGGTCTTAAGAGCTTTATTTACAAAACCAAAAGACGACATGCTTCCTTTGATGATCAACATGGCCAAAAGTGGGCTACACCATTTCAATTGCACACTGTAAAGAATATGAACTCTTATTAAAAATATCAACATATTTAAAATTAAAACTTGATAATTGGAGAATTTGACTTGGTAGTTTATTGTATCATCAAATAATTTGCAGTTATTTTATTCCCTTAAACAAAATAGTGAAACCAATAACTAAAACTGGTACAACTTAGAGACTCCAGTCCAGATCATATTTTCTGATAAAGGTAGACTGCACTCCATTAGATGGTATTTAAAAATAGCAAGAAGTTAAAATCTTTGCAATAAGAATTAAACCTCAAAATCTTTACAATAATAAACCTCCTTTGAACCAAACCTCATTGATCATACTTCAAATTTTTTAACTAATACTGTTAAACCATTTAAAGCTAACCGTTTTGTTTCGCCTATTCTAAATACGGGATATTGGTGTGAGACTCAATTGAGAATTTCATCAGTCAAGACTTGATGGTTCTCCCTGAAATTATGATAGAAATTGATACAAATACAGAATATTAATAACCTCACTTAAATTATAAAATCTCTGGGTTCCAACTCGGGCTAGTGTACTAAATTATTAAGCTTGGTAAATGCTTAAGATATATAAAAAACAATAATAATAATAAATTATTAATTAATTAATTAAAAAAAATTAAAAAGTCTTTAGGGCCCAAACAGTGTATAAATTAAGCTACCATTCGAAGAACAATGTCAGTACTAAGCCCCTGTTTAACATCCCTTATTTCAAAACTCTTTTTCTACATACTCATTTTCAACCATGCATTCACAGAATTAAATACTCTGCACATAAATCTAAAACTTTTACCTACTTTTTAACCATACATTCTCCAAAAATTAAGCATTCAAAACTTTGTTTTTGCCAATTAATGGCAATCAAACAGGGCCTAAATATGTGCAGAAATTAGATATTTACACACCACACAGCTGCCAATCTTATACTAATCAATTTGAAGAAATGCTTTGTCATTCTGGCAGACTACGTTAAAATCTACCGTTAATACTTGATATTGGTTCTCTTTTACAATGTCAGTGCCATTATAATGGACTACAAAATTAGAATGTCACATATAGCCATCTTTGAACGGAGTTCAACTCACTCCTAACTACATATATTTTGACAAAATCTACTTAATACATGTATTAACAGATCCTTGAAAAGAATGCCATTGAAGTAAGATCACTATCTGGTACCTGGGAGGCACCGACACGCTGTCAGCTTCGACATCAGACACCGGTACGTCTACGACACGTTGCCAACGTGCGTCGAAGGTCCCATTGCGTTGTGTAGAGACAGAAATGCAGATGGCTGGAAGAAAATATTAAGCAGAAGCAAAACAGACAGCTCGAAGAAAACATGGCTGAATGGCTGGAAGAAAAAAGAAACACAGCCAGAAGAAGAGACGGCTGACTACTAGGAAGGAAAGAAGAAAGTGACGACTGAAGTGAGAAAGAAAAAAAGAAAAAGAAACACGGCTAGAAGAAGAGACGGCAGACTACAGAGAATAATTTTATCGCAGTGAATTGGTTTTATTTAAAAATGGTACATGACCTTTGCTTCTGATAACCATAATTGCTTAAGGAAGATAAGTAACTAAAACGTAAAAGAGTAAGACACCAGAAACCTCAAAGAATAAAAAGTCATGATCTAAACAATAAAAAACCCAGCTAAACACAAATCCTATCCTATTTGTAATAGAATTGTCCAACATCACTATCCCTCTAGGTACCATTAGAACAGCTGTTCCATGACAAAATAAGGGGCTGTGAAGAAATCATACCTCCACATGAGAAAATTTTCTTAAAGTTCTCAATAGCGATTCATGTTTCTCCACTTGTCCTTCAAATCAACCTGAAACAATTGTATTCAGTAGCTTAAAGATATGAAAGAAAAAGAAACTAAATGTGAAGTGGAAGACAGGAGCCTATTTACCTCAGTTCTTCTGCCTTCAAATATGTGGCGGTAGGCCTTTAGGATACATTTCCAATTTCCTTGTCCATACCTTAAGGAGACAAAATACACTAATAAGACAAGAACAGAGTTGTTGTGAAGAAAATAAGGACTAGAAACCCAAGCAGCCAACCCCAGGCCCACAGGAAAAGAGAGGAAAAGGAAAAAGGAGAAAAAAAGTCGAACAACATGTGAAGTAAAAGAACATCTCAGGCGGGATGGCTGTGCTATTGGAGTCAGTGGATTAAAGAGTACCATGATGATACCTTGCACAAATTTTATATATTATTAAAGAACAAAAAATATTGACATCATTTATCTAGTGAAAGAACCGCTTCAACAGAAGGGAATCTCCAATATGAAACATCTAAACAAGACTGTTAAGGGACAGATCCTACATTGGTTAAGTACAGAAATATTAACCTATAAAGGCTTCGGCTACCCCTCTTAACAAGGTTAACTTTATAAGAGAACTCCAAGTCTCAATAAAAACAAATCACATATATATAATAAAGTTCAGTAATAAGCTTCATCAGCAAACAATTACATACTCCTCTACTCCAGCCCGCAGAGTGTCTTCTTCCTCTGCACTCCATTTGCCAACTCTTCTCCTCTTCGTTGTTTGTCCTTTCCCGGTTTTCTTCAAAGGAGATACGAGCCTTCTCTTTGGACTTGGCAACTTAGGCCTGCTCACACGATCTGTTGAGTCTTCTAATGAATTCACATTTGATTCATCCCACTGCAAATACAATTAATGAGTTATAATGCATCGCTGAACTACAAAAACATAATAATTTAGGGTACTTCTATGGTTTTAATTTGTATATAAGAGCATTCAACTTCTATGCAGAAATGTTTATTAAGCCTTGTGGGGTAACAGAAAGTTCTTTCTGCCCAAAACAATACTTAAAAGCCTAATAGTATTATCTTTGGGGAGAAAGACATTTTCGAAACATAATGCTCAATGTCAGTCCTAATACAATACCAAAAGGAGTACCTGCTAGAATTCTCATTCGTAGGAGCTCAATTTCTTACTGTTGATGTTTATGTTACTTAACCAATATAAATAAATAACCAAGAAAATCAACTTCTCACCTCATGAGTATGGGCAGTGCTGTTTCTTTCCATTAAGCTTGGTCTGGGTCTATTACTTGGATTTCCTCCATCAGTTCGAACAACACCATTCACAGCTGAAGGATTGGGGCTGACATGATTCTCTTGTATGGGCTCATGATCTGTACTTCCTCTTTCCTTGCCAGTGATTACTCCAGCACCATTCACAGCTGAAGGATTGGGGCTGACATGATTCTCTTTTATGGGCTCATGATCTGTACTTCCTCTTTCCTTGCCAGTGATTACTTCAGCACGTCGTAGTGCATCAGGAAGGGGGTCCTTCACGTTTGCTTGAAGATCCAAACGACTTGACTCAAGTGCTTCCTGTACTCTGGTAACTTCTGGGGTAGGTGGCAAATCATATTTGCAAAGCAATGGCTGTACTGCCAAACAGTCAGAATCAACAACCTCAGCTCCTCTAAAAGTATCTGATGATCGCTGCAATGATGCATCTTTTTGCACTACTGCAAGAAACAAGGAACCACCTAAACATGAGATTAACTCATCAAACTGAAATAAGCCCAGTCAAAATATAATAAAGATGCACCAAGTGTAAGGCCTAATAAGCACGACCATGAGAGGTCGAATCTTAACAATAAGATTGTTTTCAATGTTCTTGTTAATTTTACTAAGCAAGCAGAAATAATGGTTTTGAAAATTTTAAACACCAAAGTTCAGATAGTCCTTTTATTATCCGTACTTCTCTATATTGTTGTAAATTTTATCAAATGAACATCCATGAGAATACCTCCATTATTGTTCTTAGCAGCCGAATCCTGATCAGCACTACGTAAAACTGGTTCGTTAGGTACAATCCCATTGGCATTCCCCAATCCGAGCACCTCCTTCATTGTCTCCTCATCCTTGAATCTATGAGCAACCAACTCAAGAAACGAAGGCCCCATTTTCTCCCTTTCTTCTTTCAAATAAACCCTAAGAGCCTCAACTGCATTAACTCCCTTACTCTTTTTAACCAATCTTTTCCGAGCACGTTTCTTCGGAAAGGCATTATCCATCTCGTCCCTCCAGGCAAACAACTCCTCCGAACCCAATCCTCCATTCTCCACCTTCTCCAGTTTCCCAACCCTACCCCACCACACACTCTTCAGTGACTTAAAAAAATCGTACTTACTCTTCTTCCAAACCTCCTTTTTCAAATACTTCACCGAGCATTCAACCGCAATTTGCCAATACGCGCACTTCATGGCATCGGAAACTCTTTCAACCCCTTTTCGGGATTCTAGTTCTTCGAGTTGTTCCAGGTGTTCAAGGGTTGTTTCCGAAACAGCAGAATTGTGTGAGATTTCAAACTCGAGCTTCTTCAACAGAAGGGATTTTTTCAGAATAGGATTGTTGTTGGGGAGAGGAAGATTAGAAACCAGAAAATTCAATATACTATCTTGGAGGGGTTGTTTAAGAAGGAATTCGAGAATCCAATTTGAAATATCGGGATCGATGTCCATTGACAAAAATGCATAAAATGTGAAACCCTAATTCGTGTGTTTGCAGAAGCTGATTAGAAAGCGGATTTTGCAGAACGCATTTTGAGATTAAAATGCATATTCGGCAAGGAAGAGTTAATTGTTCCAATGGTCATTAAACTTAGGTCAATATTTTTTATTGGCCACTGAATTTTAAAATATCAAATTTTGGTTATTGAATTTAAATTCATATCTTTGATTACTCACTAAAGTTTAAAATGCCAAGTTTTGGGCACTAAACTTTGAAAAATGTAGAGTTTTGGTAAATGAATTTAGGTCCATGTTTTCGATTGCTCACTAGAATTTAAATTGTCAAGCTTTGGTCACTGCAGTTTGAAAAATGTTATATATTACTCACTGAACTTTGAAAAAAATTGTACATTACTCATTGAATTTTGAAAAATGTTGTACGTTATTCACTGTAAATTCAAGATTTTTCAAAATTCAACATTTATACTAATGAGTAACGTATGGCATATTTTAAAATTTAGTGGCCAAAACTTGACATTTTAAACTTCAATAAGCAATTTAAGACATGGACCTAAATTCAATGAGCAATCGAAGATATTGACCAAAGTTCAGTGACCAAAACTCGACATTTTAAATTTCAGTGACCAAAACTCGACATTTTTCAAGTTCAGTGGCCAATCAAATATATTGACCTAAATTCGGTGACCATTGGAACAATTAACTCGAAAAAAGACGTAAATTTGATTTCTTTTAAAAGTTTCGCCTAAACTTTATGAGATAAAAAGAAATCAGAATTTTGATAAAAATAGATAAATTATGATATTGTTATAAAACGAGAGAAAAAAGATAATAAAATAGGAATAAGTCAATAGACTTGTATGTATTTTATTAAGAACCAAAATCCTATATTTATAAAGTAGAATCAGGGATACAACGGTAATAATTTTTAGAACTACAAGGGTACAATTGTCATTTACATGTAAACCTTAATAAACTTACTTTTTACAACACTTCCCCTTGAATGAAATATTATAAAATATTTGCCTCGTTAAAGCCTTGTTTGATAAAAATTCAATAGAAAAAATCAAATGAAAAAAAAAGAATACAATTATTTTGGAACACTAAAAATAAATGTTCTCTCATTAAAACATTGTTAAGAAAACCCAGTGGGTAAAACCTAATTGAAGGAAAAAGAGTACAATTACTGCCCCTGATGCTAATCACCGAAGATTTTTAAGTCAACACATTCCAATCTCATGAACTAATTTTTCGAATTTAGATATTGGCAGTGCTTTTGTGAATAAATCAGTCACATGTCACTTGAGCGAATTTGTTAGATATCGATGTCGTCGTTCTTTTGAAACTCGTGTGTATAAAAAAATTAAAGAAATATGCATCATCCTGTCACTTTTGATATAACCTCCTTTGAGTTGTGTAATACAAGTTGTATTGTCTTCATACAAAATTGTTGGACTATCTTTTGTTGAAATTAACCCGTATGATACTTAGATACAGTGGATCATGTTTCTCAACCATACACATTCTCAACATTTTTCATGGATTGCAATAATTTCGGAGTCATTTAAGGATGTAACTGTTAATGATTGTTTTACAAATTTCCATGATATAGTTGTTCCTCCACGTGTAACCACATAACTTGTTTGTGATTTAGATTTATGTGGGTCAAATAAATAACCTGCATCTGCATATCCCACTAAAGCAGATCCTGACTTTTGAGAATAAAATAATCTTTAATTAATAGTACCCTTTAGGTAACGAAATATATGTTTAACACCATTCCGATGTCTTTGAGTTGGTGCAAAGTTATATCTTGCAATGATATTTACAGAAAAAAGCTATGTAAAGTCAAGTGCAATTTGCAAGATACATTAATGCTTCAATTACCCTAAGATATGGTACTTCAGGACCAAGAACATTTTATCCATTTTCAAGTGAACGAAATAGATTTTTTTCACATCAAGTGATCGAAAAACCATAGGTAATGCCAATTAAATTAAAATCATCAACATAAACTGCCACAATTACAAATTCAATATTTGTTTTTATTATTAAAACACATTGATAGATATCGTTATTTTTATAACCCTCCTTCATCAAATATTCGGTAAGGTGATTTTACCACATGCATCCAAATTGTTTCAATCCATAAATGATCTTTACAATTTAATTGAGAACGTGATTCTCCGGCATGTATCATTTAAGCTATGCTTCAAGTATATTAAATCTTTCAGAGATAACATTAATAGTCATGTCAAATGACTTGACTATCACGTATTTAAAATTTCATGTATCGTCGAGATAACATGATACAGACTCCTGATTTCATCCAAGATAATCCTTGCGAAAATACAGTATGTTGAGAGTCGTGTATTACACATTATGACTTCATTTTTCTCATTTTCTTTTCGCATAATTATATACCTTTAGATTTTCGGATTACATATCCAAGAACTTCGTGTTCCTCTAATAAATTCAATTCAGGATTGCGTCTCTTTTATTTGGCCAAACATTACTTTGATCGATATATTTCGACACATTTATTTTGATTCCTCGCGATTCACATATGAAACTGTACATCATGTGTAAGATTGTTGTCGACAACTTTTTCTTTTTTCAATTCCAGTTCTTATTCCATAACGACAACTTATGTAGATATCTCAATTTTCAATATATCAGGTACCTGAATCTTTTCTGGGGTTTTAGAATTTGTTATATCTAAATATTCATCAAGAATATATGTTTTCTTAATGAGACCAATTTTGCTAATTGCTCCATTTTCGTTTGAAGATTTTTTATATTATAATCGAACACCATCAAGTTTCAAGCGTGCCATAGATATATCAAATATAATGCTAATAAATTATCTTCACTAGATATCAATTCGAATTGGAGCATTTAAAATTTATGCGTGATGTATTGTTTATCTTTTTTATTAGTAAATGCATCTAAATAAATTATCATTCGAATTTCTAGTTCAAACGATATTTTGCGAGGATGCATTTATACATTATTTTCAATTTCTTAATTCCTCCCCCTAATTCTAAGAGATCTGTCTAATCAAATTGACAATTATTTTTTCAGCATTATAAAATATCACTAACTTGGAATAAGGGTTCAAACTTTGCATTATTCTCAACATTCTCTACTTTTTATTTCGGTGCAATGTGGTTCCATCTTAAAATGTCAACTTTATTAAGAGGAGTTGTTGAAGACCTTATAAGTTGGTCTATATTTTCATCTTTATTTGATGTGAGATATATCCCTTAACATGACACTGCAAGATGGTGACTCGTTTGAGCAGACCAGTCTTGAAACCGTAAGCTCATTTATTGAGTTTTAATTGGATCGAATCGCTCATTAGAACTTAATAGACTCTAATACTTTAAGTCAGTTATAACGGAAGAACTATAATATTAACATGATACGTAATATAATTCCCTAAAAAAAGTAAGAAGTACTTTGTTGTCAATTAATTCAATTGGAGTTATTTAACAAATAATAGTGTTAAGTCATTTATTGACATATCAACTAATACTTATTAAAATGTTGAGTTTATGTCTGCTAATATTAATAAGACACGATCTTAATTATATAATTTGAAATTTATGCTCATAACTTGAGCAATAATTTCACAAACTTTAGGTTGCAAACACCATGCAATCATCTAGTATTTGTATCAAATATATTATATACAAATAATATTTAAATGGTTAACATGGTGGATGATGAGACCCTATATACTACCTTAGTTAATTTTCAGAAATATAGTGAATTCAATCTCTATTTTAGCTAGCAATGTTTAATGATCAATTACCGATAAAGAGAACAAATAATATATAGGAATTTATTGAATTGAAAAATCTTATGGTTCTTCTTTGAATATCCTTTTTTTTTTTTAATTTCGCATAATTATTGATCCAGTAATGGTCCAACTGTTCATGTCAAATAATCAAACTTCTAGTTCAATACAATGTTTCAAATTCAAAGAACTATTTAATCAAATAAAAGACATAGTTAATTCTCAAAAAGCATGATTAACTATGATATATCATATAAAATTCAAAGTTCACCCGACATAAATTGTATGTTTTCCTTCAAGGATAAATATATATTTTTTATGTTTTTTCGGGAACACAAATAAATATAATTCTTCAAGATGTGTACTATTTCGAGAGCAGACTATATTTTATTATTGCTTTTTCAACATCAATATTCCAGAAGAATATTGAAAACTATAATTCAAGCTATTCAAGAGAAATCAAATATTATTATAATAAATTTTACAAAAAAAATACTTTTTAGGAGTAAAAATATAATTTATGTTAAATTGTATGTAATTATGCTCTTTGAGAGTAAATAAAATCTAACTAGAATATTAAAAAAAANTATCACAACACTTAGGTGAAATTCATAATTCGACAGAAAAAGGTAATTTGGTAGCAGAATAGAATTGTGTGTGTAAAGAGAAACCAATACAAAAGTTATTACACAATTATGAATCTACAAAAACTTATCAAATTGCACGTTTTCCAAAATAGAATTCAGAAACAGAATTTGGGCCAAAAGTTGATATGACACAAGTGAAAATAACTGTTGATACCTAGACCAAACATAACTGAAGATGAGTCTTGAAAAATAAAATAATGATTTGTAGGAAAAAATATCTTCTTTTTCTTTTCTTCCAAGGAAAGATTAGAATTTGAAAAATTGAGTTTACGTGCTGATAATGTGTTATAAAAAAGAGAGAAAAGAGAAGAAAATAGGAAGAAGTCAATATATTTGTGTGTATTTTATCAAGAATCAAAGTCCTCTATTTATCGGCAGAATTATGGATACAATAGTAATAATTTATAGGACTGTAAGGGTACAATTGTTATTCATATGTAAACTTTAATAAACTTACCCTTTATACCAGATATGTGATGAAAAATAATTATTGATTTTGACTTCGACAAAAGCTCAATATACTCATTTGAAAACAACAAATGTTTAGATGAAAAATTGTAATCTATTTCTCATTTTACAATTTGCTCGAGATGCTACGTAGTGTTTTAAGTGATTATAGATTATGGATCTTATAAAATGTATGTGTAGTAAGCTGGTAATAGTTTAATATCCAATGAAATGCATAAAACAAAATTATATTCAATCGGCTCAAATTATAAGTGAGAAAAGATGGAATGTCGATTTTGTCCTTACTAAAAACGGTAAATTAAGTCAATGATTGAATTACTAGACCTTGGAAGGAAATCATCCAATGGTCCTTTGGCTGCCTATATAGTTAAAGGTTAGAGATCTCACTGCCAAAGAGGAAAGACTCGAGATCCAATCACACCTTTTGAAAAGGTAAGAGACTCCAACCACAATTTTCCCATTAAACTATGCTTTCACAAAGATGTTTGTAATTAATGTTTCCTGTTACATTTCTATTTTGTGCGCCCTCGCGAAGAAATTCATCTTACATCTTCGAAGTTATATATTTCAGTTTGTCTTGGTAGAGTCGTAGAGATGGCCTTGAGAGTGCACGAGTTGAGTGATCACATTGGGCCTTAACATTATAGGGACACCAAAAAAATGTTTTTTCTATGAGTGTATATATATGTGTGATTAAAAAATATTTTATTAATTTTAAATTTATTATTATGTTATGTTAAATAGCACAGTATTTATGAAAAAAAAGAGTAAAAAAATTATATATTATTAATATTTTTTTTACTAATTTAACGTATTCTTGAAAAAATAAACTGTTTTCGAATTTTAAACTATCTAGCTTTCGAACAATATTTTATTAGCTTCATTGAAAAAATAAATTATTAGCTTCATTGAACAATTACCAACCCAACAAAATAATAAGAAGTCCAAAATTCAAAAGGTTAAAGTGAAGAGTGGAAAGCTAGCCCGATTTCCATTTTCACCATTTTCCTTTAGCCCACAAAAAGCAGTGGAAAAAAACAAGAGAAAGAAAAAGAAAACCCACCACTAGTTTGTGTTACTTGCTCTGAATAATACAATCTACAGCTTAACATCGTCATTTTATTGATGCCGATTATCCACTTGTGTAATTGCTATTTTGTGATTTTTTTAGTTCTAAAAAGGTAAATTTTTGTTAGGCGATAACTGATAAATGATTACGTTCAATTTATATTACGTTAACATGTAATTGCACAAAGAGGTTAGTGGCTTGTATGGTTCCTTGTTGATGGCATGTGAATTTTGATAAAGTTCGGGTTGTGCATTTGAGCTTTACTTGTATTTTCTTATTCACGACATGTAAACAAAATTAAATATTATATTTTGTAATGAAATAGTATTATTGAAACATATTTCATTTTTATAATATATTTTTTAATAACATAAAAGGGGCATTATTTTAAACTATCACACAGAGTATGCAAAATCTCAAAGTCTACCCTATGCCTCGGAGCTATCACCAAAGAAAGAAAAGGTAAGGCAGCAATGCAAGATTGCCTTAAGATCTTTCTCTATTCACAACTTTGCTCACTTAAATAATGGATTAGCGCTAACTTATTTACTTGATCGATTGCTTGTCTGATTTGGACAAAAGTTGGATACTAACGAGGGCCCTGTCTAATCTTTCTGGTATCCTTTTCAGTCCGCCCTTGCTTTCGAAAAGAAATGGGTAGTAACGCAAGTATTGAAGTGAGGAAGGTGTGTAGAAACAAACAAACAAGCATAGCAAATCGATGGCTGAGAAACAATACCTCTGGAATTCAATTATTGAGAGTCATCCTATAATACATTACTAGACTATGTGCTTGTTTGGGATTGAATTTGTTGTGATTTTAAACGAAATTTTGACCATTGAATTCTGTAGGTGGGTCCTTTTTTTCAGTAACCATTCACTCATTTTTACAATTTTACCAAAGTACCCTTTCTAACGAAGGATGAAAAGAGTGTTAGGAATGTATTTGTAATTACATAGTCAAATATTGTAGCTCTTTCAAACTAACACAATATGGAGCAACGATTGGAAATTCACTTAAATTTTTTTTCCCAAAATCAATACCAGACTGGCAATATAAATAACCATTTATAATATATTTTTCAAGAAGAAAGCTTACTTAGCCTCCATTTGTCCCCCATTATCCCAAAAATCTATTCCTCTTATTTTCAACCACAATATTTCATAAAATAATGTTACAATTAAATCGAAAAATTTTTCCTTTTTTTTTTCAACTACGTATTTTATAAAATATAAATATTCCAAAAATTATAATTTTAAATAATGGAAGCCAACGGAGGCTTAGCCCACTAACTAAGGATCCAATTGCCTGCTTTAAATATTTATAAGTAAATAAAATTACATACCCATAGTTCATGTACTCTACTCAAGCTCTCGTGTTGTACAATGTATTTTCTAACAAGATTACATTAGCCGCAGATATTGATTACTCAATAGGGTGATTGAGTTGCGTTTAGTGTGTTTTTTAATTAAACAGACTTATTCGACATTTAGTCCCACGTATTCGAGTTAGCCAATCAAGTCTAACTTAAGAGTAGCCGAGCTACTTGGGTCAAGTTGAAACTACATAATGCTATGGACTAATCGATCAATATTGTACCTGTATAATAAACGATTTATGTATTGCTAAGTGTAAGGGAGCATTCTTGAGCCTGTTTGGGTTTCTTTTTAATTTTAATACATCTTTATCTTTTTTCTTTTTAACTATACATTTTTCAATAAAATAATATTACACCTAAATGCAAAATTTTTCATTTTTAACCAAATATTCTCAAAAAATTTATTATTTTTAAAATATATTTTTCTTAAAATTTCATTAAAATGGAGCCCAAACAAATACTAAATGTGAGAGTTAGAGAAAGTGAAGTGTCAAACGAGCTATTTTAATTCATAGTCACTAACGTCTACAATAAGAAGTTTTGCATGCCTATTTTACAAACATGCGGTTGTGAGTCTCCGAGCTATAGTAGTTGACTGTAACGTATTGACCTTGGGTGTATAACTGGACTGATAACAAAGGTCCAGCCTCTTTTGTTTCTTGAAATCTAAATTTGATGTGCTTGACAGTTGCTAAAGGAAACTAGAGACAGATCGACCCAATTCCCCGCCCAATAGATTTCGAAACTCGGAAGCCAACTCACATAAAGTGAAGGATTTACGTCTCATTCCTTCGGCTGACCAGGAAGTTTTCTTAGTCACCAACATCTACAATAAGAAGGTTCGCCTATTCAATGTTCGCTTGAGTAGCTAAATTGGAAATTAGTGAGAATAGTAAATTAGAAATGTTGGGTAAGATCGCAATTGGGTGTGAGGGGCTCCGCAAATCACGTTTTAATAAAATCCCCCATTTTGATAATTCCATATTCATCCGCTCGACCGACACAAAATTAACCCCGTCAAATTCAAATTTAATTTAATTTAATTTTCCAACGAGTAACGAATTTGATTTTATTCTCATGTAAAATAAATTTACTGCTGTGAAAAACTGTACATAATAAATCTAAACTTTACCTTGGCTACTCCCAAGCTATATATTCATCGTAGATTGACCAGATTTGAGATGAGTTTTCGTACATTTTTTCATTAATTCAGTGATCTCAAAGCTTCTCAGGTTCCATTTCTTTCTCCATCTACTCACCTAGAGACACACACAAAAACACTGATATAGGTATATGTATAAGAAAATATATGTGGGTGGGTTTGAATTTATGTGACTGGTTTTTCGTGCAAAGCATCAGATCTGGTGATCGACAATGCTGAATTTTACGGGGTTTTTGTTTCATGCATTTTCCTAACGGTGTTACTATTGTCTTATGAGCTTGATTACTTTTTTGTTTGACATAATGTTAATTTGTGCAGCTGAGTTGGAATTGCGTTTAATTTAAGTATATTGTTGAAACGACTTGAACACCTTGAAAATTTAATAAATAAGTTTGGTGAGTGAGTTAAATTAATGGGAATTTTGGTATGTGATAAAATAGATATTGATTGGATCCGGGAGAGAGAGATAAGAGGAGCTTGTGAAGATGAGTGAGGGCCAGCGATTTCAGCTGGGAACCGTTGGTGCCTTGGGTCTGTCTGTGGTTTCGTCGGTGTCCATTGTGATTTGCAACAAGGCGCTCATTAGCACTCTTGGCTTCACTTTCGGTGAGATTTATGGATTATATTCGTTATGTTTTTTTTAATAATGATGTTATTGTTTCTTTGATATAATATTTTCGCCTCATCCTTTTTTCTTGTTTATAATGAATTTGTCCTGAATTTGCATATTCTTATTAGGAGTTCCTAACTTGAAATATGTGGTAATATACGAGAAAATTGAACTCAGTGGATTTTAGGATTCCCTATTATGATTGGCAGGTTGAGGTCAAACCACAATTAGATAATCTACTGAGAAAGGAATTTGGGAGATTATATTTGCTATGTTAACAGCTCGACAAGTTTAACCAATGCATGATCCAACTAGTCACTACTTTGCATTCTCTATTTTCTTTTTGGTTTATCTTAGATGATAACTAATGTGAATTCAGAAAAGCGGTAGACTGTTGAATTGGGTTCTCTGGATTGGATATGAAGTAATTGTGAGTTAATAGCTTCAGGCTGTGAAAGGAAGAAGCATGAAGCTGCTTTGTCCAAATGGTGACATCAAAGAATTCTCATTTAATTCTTTCACAAAATATGAACTTCAACAAAAGCTGAGTGTCTAGCTTATTTGTCATCTAGGGGAAATAGCTTGACAGCATTCTGCTGTTGTGAAACTGGATTGGCTTTATTTTGTGCTTAAGTTTACTGGCAAAACAAAATCAAATTTTCTTCATTCTTGATGCTTTTGTAAAGTTAGATATAGGGAAAATCTGCTCTCTCTGTTATATGTATCTAACAATGATTAGTGAATTAGCGAAAGGTGTCATGCCATGTGGCAGGGAATATCCCGAGTCTCATGTAACTGCATGAAAAGAGGGTTGGGGGGGGGGGGGGAGGGAAAGAAG